CTCACCCAGGGCATGGGAGCTGGGCACTGGGTGGCATCAGGGCCTCCTCGGGCACACTGCTAGGATCCTGCCCTCCTCCTCTCGTGCTCCACAGCGCAGGCAGACCCCGGGTCAGGTCCTGGTGGTGCTGGTGGGTTGCATGTCAATTCTCAGAGCCCCCCGGGCCCAGTCCCCCATCCCAGCTCTGCGCAGCTGGCCGGCGGAACCCTTCCCAAAGCCCTCTGCTTCCTGAGCCTTGCTCAGCTCCTGAGGGCAGTTGGGTTGAGGACAGATCCCCCTTTCTCCTCCCATCACTGTCAGGGTGACTATAGGTTGAGTGGGACGGGGAGGTGGGCTCAGGCACAGCCCCTGCTCTGGGCTCTGGAGGGGCTCGTTCCAGGGCCCCTGGGGTGGCCTGGACATCCCAGGCAGGGGCCTGCACCCAGAATCAGACTTATCAGTGTCCAGGACATCATCCTGATGGCTCACCGGGTTCTCCTGACAGTGCCTAAGGAGGAAGAGCAGGAGAAAGTGAAGGAGGCTCTCATCTCCACTTTCCTGCAAGGGTGAGTGAGGGGCTGGCTGCCCCCGAGGCCCACCTGGGTCAGGGATGGGAGGGGGGCCTGGGAGTGGAGGGACGTGACAACCCTAAGGCAGGAAGAGCACCCAGTTCTGGAACGTGGCCCGGCTCTGCCCTGAGCAGGTTGTGTGACTTCGGCCAGCCCCCTTCCCACTCTGTACCTCACTTTCCCCATTGTAAAGTCAGGGCCTTTCTGGCTTGGAGTCCCCAACTGTGGTATCCAGCCTGTTGCCCCCAGCCCCTCTTTCTGTCAGGAGCTCCTGCCCAAGAGCGAGGCTGGTGGGGTCCACCCCAGGCTCTCATGACACCCCCTTCCCCCTTTAGGACAACCCAAGCCGTCTCAGCACAGATGTCAGAATCCGCAGGTTTCACCGACCTCGCTGGGCAGACGAAAGGTATAGGGAGGGCGGGTGCATGTCTGCTCAGGGAAGGGGGCGGAACTCCCTGATGCTGCGGTGAGATGAGGAGGAGGCTGCCTGGTGGGCAGACCCAGGCCCTTGAGGCTCCTCCCAGATGCTGTGGCCCTGGGAACAGTCTGCTTGTTCAGTTATGGGCCAGGGGCTCGCGTCTTCTTGTGGACCCTGATTCCAAGCTTTTGTTGCTGTTGGAGCCGTCTCTGACCACTGTGGGTCTGGGAGCCAGGCCAGCCCTGGACGTGGAGCTCACATCCAGCTGGCTGTGTGGGTGCCTGGGTGCTGGGCGCTGAGAACAGAAGCAGCACACATCCTCCTCGGCCCCCACAGCTCCAGGCTCCTGCTGCAGCCTGATGGCTGCTTCTGGCCTCTACCCAGCTCTGTCCTCAGCCCCCTTGCCCCCTGTCCTGCAGTCATGCTGCTGTATGCTGTCCCTCGGCTCTGCCCTGGCCCCCACNCTGGCTGCCCCCGAGGCCCACCTGGGTCAGGGATGGGAGGGGGGCCTGGGAGTGGAGGGACATGACAACCCTAAAGCAGGAAGAGCACCCAGTTCTGGAACATGGCCTGGCTCTGCCCTGAGTAGGTTGTGTGACTTCGGCCAGCCCCCTTCCCACTCTGTACCTCAGTTTCCCCATTGTAAAGTCAGGGCCTTTCTGGCTTGGAGTCCCCAGCTGTGGTATCCAGCCTGTTGCCCCCAGCCCCTCTTTCTGTCAGGAGCTGCTGCCCAAGAGCGAGGCTGGTGGGGTCCACCCCAGGCTCTCATGACACCCCCTTCCCCCTTTAGGACAACCCAAGCCATCTCAGCACAGATGTCAGAATCCGCAGGTTTCACCGACCTCGCCGGGCAGACGAAAGGTATAGGGAGGGCGGGTGCATGTCTGCTCAGGGAAGGGGGCGGACTCCCTGATGCTGCGGTGAGATGAGGAGGAGGCCGCCTGGTGGGCAGACCCAGGCCCTTGAGGCTCCTCCCAGACGCTGTGGCCCTGGGAACAGTCTGCTTGTTCAGTTATGGGCCAGGGGCTCGCGTCTTCTCGTGGACCCTGATTCCAAGCTTTCGTTGGTGGTGGAGCCGTCTCTGACCACTGTGGGTCTGGGAGCCAGGCCAGCCCTGGACGTGGAGCTCACATCCAGCTGGCTGTGTGGGTGCCTGGGTGCTGGGCGCTGAGAACAGAAGCAGCACACATCCTCCTCGGCCCCCACAGCTCCAGGCTCCTGCTGCAGCCTGATGGCTGCTTCTGGCCTCTACCCAGCTCTGTCCTCAGCCCCCTTGCCCCCTGTCCTGCAGTCATGCTGCTGTATGCTGTCCCTCGGCTCTGCCCTGGCCCCCACTGTCCCGTCTGTCCAGACCCTGCTTCGTCTTGTTCTTGGCCCCCTTGGTCAAACCTCAGCTCAGACCTGTGAGTCAGTGCTGCCCTCGCTGGCCTCCTGCCGCACCAGCCAGCGAGTCTCCTTGTTTCCTTGCTGGACGTTAGCACCACGCTGCGGGAGGCCTCATCCTATGTGTTTGTTCTCTGGCCCCAGAGCCGAGGATGGGCCTGCACTGGGTGGGTGCTCAGTACCTGTCTGAGGGATGCATGGCCGCCTGACCATAGCATTTGCACCTCCAGGAGAACCCCTGGCGACTGAGGAAGCCCGCAGCCACCTGTCCCTTGCTGAGGTGGGCACGGAGGAGTTCCTGCAGAAACTCACCTCTCAGATCACTGAGATGGTATCAGCCAAGATCACGCAGGGTGAGAAGCCAGCACCTGCATGCCAGGGTCCCAGGGGACCAGCCAGGACCGAGTGCACAAGGCTCAGGGTCCAGACTGGGGCCCACTCACCACCCCAAGCCCTGGAGACTGACAAGGTTGGGGGCAGACAGGAGGTGGGCAGTCCTTCTGGGGACGTCACAGTCCTTCTGCCCACACAGCCAAGCTACAGGTGCCCGGAGGTGACAGTGATGAGGAGTCCAAGACGCCGTCTGCATCCCCCCGGCATGGCCGATCGCGACCTTCCTCCAGTGTCCAGGAGTCTTCCTCCGAGTCAGAGGACGGCGACTCCCGCGGCGAGGTGGGCGGGCTGGGACCCTCCAGGATCAGGGTAGGGAGAGGTCCCTGACCCTCCTGAAGAGGAAACACAGGGTTGAGAGGGGCAGGAGGCAGGACTTGCACTCAGGTGGGACGCCCATGGGGCTCAAAGGAGGTGGGCTGGTGCCGTAGCAGCCGCCGGCTGCAGGCTATGGTTTTGCACAGAGGGTCTTGGGGCAAATTGGTTGAAACAATGTTCAGGTATGTAGAGCTGGATCTAGTAGATGACAGGAAAGAGGAGACAAAATAATCCATCCTCTAATGTGCCTCCAGCCTGACAAATCATCCCAGTTTGGAGGCTGATTTAGAAGGGCCCGTGCACCCGCTCCAGAGACGAGCTCACAGGAGCCTCATCTATATGTGACAGTGCGTGCTCTGTTGCATGTATGGACCAGGGAGCTTAGAGTCCTCACACCTGTGCAGCCAACATCATACCGACACCCCAGCACCCCCAGAGGCTCCCCCTTGCTCCTTTGGGGTGGCCCCACTAACACCCTCAATGGGATTCCCATCAGTAGAGATGGGTGCCTGTTCTAGAACCTGTCGAGGTGGAGTCTGATGGGTTCCTGTCTGCGTCATGCTAGAGACCCGTGTGTTGAAATGAAAGCAAACAAAGGAACAAAAAACAAAGAAAAGGAAGAAGGAAATGCATGTGTTTTGACATGCTCCAAAATAGCAGGAGGAACAGGGCATGGGGGCTGCTGACTGTTGGGTCTAACCCAGAACTGGGTCCTTGCTGCATGGGTTTCTGCAGTGACCCTGTCTTCTACAAAGTCATCCATCCATCCATTCATTCATTCATTCATTCATTCATTCACTTGCAAGTGCATCTCATGCCTCAACACACCAGGTGCTTTGCTAGGTCTTGAGGTGGTTGGGAGATGGTGAATAGGTGACCAAGTAGAGGCATTCCCGGCGGGGGGACCAGGGAGCTGTGGTGAGCTCTCAGGGTTGGATGTGGAGTGGGGGGCACCCATGTTCCTGCCCTTCTGCATGGGAGCAGGAGACAGTCTGTGTGCAAAATGACCCCATGGTCCCTGACTTGGTGCCCCCTTCCTTCTTGAATATCTGGAGGCTGTGGGGACTTTGGATGGCCCCTCCCCTGTTGTATCTTTGGGGGCTTTTGGGGACTTGGCAGCCCGGGCTAGCATCTCCCTGATGCCCAACTCAGTTCCCCCTTCTCTCCCTATCAGATCTTTGACATCTATGTAGTCACGGCCGACTACCTGCCCCTGGGGGCCGAGCAGGATGCTATCACGCTGCGGGAAGGCCAGTATGTGGAGGTCCTTGACTCGGCCCACCCACTGCGCTGGCTTGTGCGCACCAAACCCACCAAATCCAGCCCCTCGAGGCAGGGCTGGGTGTCACCTGCCTACCTGGACAAGAGGCTCAAGGTACCTGGACGGCCTGGGGCAGGGAGAGCCTCTGGAGTTCCAGAGAGCTTGGTTATGGGCCAGGAGGCTCCTGGGACTGTTGTCTTCGTTTGGGGCCAGGAGCCTGTCCCCAAGGGCGCAGGGTCAAAGCTTGGACCTCCTATGATGACCTCCTCTTCTTTACCAGCTATCACCTGAGTGGGGGCCCACTGAGGCCCCTGAGTTCCCGAGGGAAGCCATGTCTGAAGATGAGTACAAGACGAAGCTGAGGTGAGTGGTCACAGGGCAGAGGTGGCAGCCCTGGCATTCCATGGGCTGGGCCATCACTCACAGAAACTGGCTGCTCTCCCTCACTCTGGGTATGGGCTCTGACCTTGGGGGAATTAGGGTCCTGCTGTGCTGTCCCTGTGGGAGCCTCTGCGCTGATTTCATGAGTCTTTGTGGGGGATGGGCAATGGAGAGCCAAGCAGGCCCCAGCTTTGCCCCGGGCTCCTGCAGCTGCCCTCTCCTCCATGGGACCAGTCAGGTGACTTCTAGTGGCAGGGGCAGCCTTTTCAGAGATGGGGGTGCCCTCTCTCCACTGTCTTGACCCTTTCTGAAGGCAGGCAACAGCTCAGACAGCAGGAGGCACTCCCTTTAGTGGCTGAAAGAACAGAGGCCACAGAGGGGGGAAACTCTCGGCCACAGCCACACGGTCCTGGGTCCCTGTGCAGGGGCGGGAGCAGGGACCAGCAGCTGGAGCTCCTGGGTCGCCCCTCATGGCTGCCTCCTCCCACCCAGCTCCATCATCCAGGAGCTGCTGAGCTCTGAGCAGGCCTTCGTGGACAAGCTGCAGTTCCTGCAGAGCCATCATATGCAGCACCTGGAACACTGCCCGCGTGTGCCCACCGCCGTGGCCAGCCAGAAGGCTGTCATCTTCCGCAACGTGGAGGACATCAGCCGCTTCCACAGCAGGTGGGTGGGTGGGGCTGCACACACACACACACACAC